GAGATGATGATGTAAGTGGCGGCAACTTTGTCAAAGTATGTCACATGATGTGCCCAGTGTCGGCTCAGCAGTGAGATATTCTAAGTGGCTTCGGTAGGTAGTCGAGTGGTTAGGCTGCCACACCCATAATCGTGAGAGCCTTGATTCGGAGGTTCAAGGCTCAGGTCTCTCCGATGTTGTGTCTTTTGGCAAGACACTTTACAGACCTATTTGTCCCCATTTAGCTCGGTTTTTATCGGAAATGGACAGTTAAATTGTGGGTGGTTGGTGGGCGCTAATGTGTGATTTGCTTCTTTTTTTCTATCAAACATCTATCGTCCTTATCTGATCTCTTCTTCTTCTTTTTTGCTTTTGTTACTCTCTAGTAACACCTCTAATCTTCGGCACTTCTAAGACCTAATTGTGTTGCAAGTGCCGTAAAACTCTTACTAAAACATTAAAAGATGGACGTTAGATTCGGAAGTTTCATCTCTTAGGTAGCCTCACAGTCAGTGTTGCAGGGGCGTCAAACCAATACAAGTTCGCACTTTCCAAATATTATTTATTGAAATAGGGTCTGGAGTCACATTGGATTGGGAACTGCATTTCGTGTAATAATGATAGTAATAATAATAATAGACTGTATGTATAGCGCTCTATCCCATGCGAGCATAAACTTCTGAACGCATAACATCGATCACATGATCGCCGAGCACAATACTTCATTTACACAAGATAAAACATTTCACAGCAACAAGAAAAGTAGATCTAGTTCTACCGCATAAAAAATTACTTTTTCAACCACGTAAGGATAGCAATAGAAAAAAACCAGAATGGTGCTCACTGACTCAAATGAACCGCATTATCATTAATGCTATATATGTAGTACAAATTCAACATCGCTACCTCAGAGTCGCAAAGTTTTATGTGACATTTTTGGTCGTTATGGGTTACTTAGACCTTGAGGTCAGAAAGCAATTGCTCTATCTGCTCTATCAAAATTGTAAAAATATTCGGAGTTACCATCAAGATACTCAAAGAAGTGCATTCGAAAAAGCTTGACATGTTTTGAAACTCAAAAAAATCTAACGTCAAATTTTTCAAGAACTGGTATTGAGCAGATAGAAATGTGTAATTCAGAGGTAGCGAAATGAATCAGTGTGTTCCTAAAGTGAATGTGTGACATTAATTTCCCTGTGTCTCCTACGTCTAATTTTCTCCTTTCGTTTTCTGTCTTTACTCTTCCAACTCAAGAAACAGAATCTTCTGAAAGTAAAAGGTCGAAGGCAATAGAGGACAAAACTTTGGGGGGTCCAACAGAAGATGGGAACATGACACAGAAACCTAGTGTGGAACTAGAACATCCTCGGCAGGCAGAAATGACAAAAGACAGCGTTTCATTGCAGAAAGGTCTGCGAAGTACTCGTAACGTTTAACTACTGAGAAAGCGAAGAACACTCTTCCCACTGAAGTAACGGCTCGCCCTTTCAAATGGCCTATGTGTGTCCAGGAGGGTGTTAAATCTCTTCACCTAAGAACGTTAAACTTGACTAGACTTTATCTAGTCCTTTCTGAATGATAACATCAAGACAAACAGCAGATTTGCCAAGTTATACGTGGTCAAAGGGAGAAAGACGAAAAATAAATCAACTCCTGCATTATATTATTATTACCCAGCTAGTTTGAAATTTGAAAGGATTTTTGTTTTATTTTAATCTTTTTTTCCCTAGTACTTTATGTTGAATTGAAGTCAAAACAACGATAAGAAGAACAAAAAAACACAACAATAACCATTGCGAAAAAAACACAATGACTATGATATTAAAGTGCTAATGACAAGGGCAAAGCAACCAGCAGTGCGAACGTTGCAAACAGCAGCAGTTGCAACAACAGTAACGACACAATGACAGCAGAATTGGATGATGACACTTGCAGCACGAGCGATTGCTGTATGATGATATAACTACTACCACTTCCACAACAACAACTATATCAACAACCACAACAACCACAACAACAAAAACAACAACAACAACAACAACAACAACAACAACAACAGCCGCAGCAGCAACAACAACAGCAGCAACAATCGTATCAAGTTATCATCGGTATATCTTACGCAATATCATGGCGAAGAAGAGACAGCCAATGCCGAAAGACCTGTCACGGGGTTCCACAGACCTGAAGACAAAAAAAAAAATATAAATAGTAAATATCGTACAGAATATAAAAAGGAAATACCACACTACATTATAAAAAGTAAAATATCCAACAAATCTGTCGACACAGGTCTCTACTTGAGAATTGCAAAGTTCTATATTTCCATCTGCTCAGTACCTAGTTTCGAGAAAATTTGACGTCAGAAAATTTTGAGTTCATAGTATGTCGAGCTTTCTAAAAATACAATTCTTTGAATATCTATGTAACGACTATGAATAATCTTACGATTTAAATAGAACATATAGAACAATAAAATTTGTGGTCTTAGAAACTCAAAACGGCCAAAAATGTCAGATAGAACTTTGTAATTCTAAGGTAGCGAAGTCGTAGTTACAGTTCGTCTTTCGTGGATGTCTGACTTGAACGGTGTATTTGCATGAACACTGATTTTTCAGAAAAGTAGGCATATTTGGAGAGAGGGGTGTTGGACAGGGGGGGGGGGCAAGTTTCTTTCTTACATTTTTTTAACGAGTTTTAGTAAGGTATTACAGCGCTCGCAACTGCATAAGGTCTCATGAGCGCCAAGGGGTGGATGTCCACAGAGAAGTCCAAATGGAGAATCAGGCTTACTCTGCTCACCTCTCTTGCCTCAACAGCACAAACTCTGCTTCGACTATCAAATAGCAGTTCACAAGAGAGTGACAAACATACAAAAGAAGTAAAGGAAAAATGACGATAGTAAGGATGAGGAAAAAAGAAGTAGCAGTTCTCCCAATGCTGTTCCCGCACAGTATGAGAATGACATTGATACATTAGCCCATTTACAATTCTACTGTACATAAGAACATGTTAATATCCTCTCTTTGGGAATGGCCTAAAGGCAACTTCAGTCTGCAGCACTGCCCTGGTTGGGGGGGGTTCTTATTATCTCCCAGAAATGCTCAGAACTTTAAGTTGAGTGCTCTTTTTACCATTGACGTAAGTATCACCAATTGCAATTGCAGTTGTGAATAACATATTTTGAGACAAAACAGTTTTGGAACTAGTTTAGCGGATGCACGAATAGAGTACAGTCGAACCTGCCTAAGACGACCACGCCTCGTAGAGGAGAAAAGTGAGTTATCATCTTAGACAAGTGGTCCGTTTAGATAGCGTCATCATGATAGAAGAAAAACGAAGGGGGAAATGGGAAGTAGTCGAACGTACTGGTGATTTTTAGGGACAGGAAGTTGTTACAGCAGGTTCAGCTGTCTTCATAATTTAAAACAACAGCAACAACAACAGCAACAACAACAACAACAACAACAATGACGACGACGACGACGACGATGACAAAAGCAACCACAAAAACAGCAACAATAACACCACCAACACCACCACCA